GGGGCAGTTGTTTGATGTATTATACCAGTACTTTGGAAAAATACTGGATCATAATACTCGCCTCCCCTATCCGTTCGAAGAATTTTAATCAAGTTACTTTGGTGTAACTCTACCTCTTGCTTATAAATTTTAAATTTATCAAGGGCTTCTTCTTTTGCATGTAGCAAATAGACAAAGCAAAATCTGGATGCATCATCTATGAAAGTGACTACATATTTTTTATTTCCAAGAGAAGGGGTACTATGTAAGTCACATAAATCACTATGAATAAAATCCAAAATTTTACTTTCCCTATGAACTTCTTTGAATGGTTGTCTCACTATCTTAGTGAGCATACAAGTTTTACACTTCTCAATGTTCAAATCAAATGCAGGTATTAAACTCATTTTAGACATATCTTTTAATCTCTTGTAATGAACATGTCCTAGTCTAGCATGCCACAATTCAGATTTATTTGAAATAATGCTAGAACTAATAGAAGCCATACATATAGATTCATTGAGATAAGATATATCTAAATTTAACTTGAACATACCATTCAAATATCCAAATCCAATAAACGAACCATGTTTAGATAATACATATTTATCGGACTCTATGACTTGTTTATAACCACAATTATTTAATACAATACCAGACACTAAGTTTTTACGAATACCAGGAACAAATAATACATTATTTAATGTTATTGACTTTCCAGAAGTAAACACTAGCCTAACACTTCTAATTCCTTTGATGGGTTCGGTAGACACATTCCCCTTGCGCAGTGTTGAGCCATCTTCAATTGGCCTCAAAGATGTGAACCAACGTTGATCCTTGCACACATGCGATGTTGCTCCCGAATCTACCCACCATGCAACATCATCATCCTGCATATAAAATGCCTCGGATATTAGTGATACATAATTCTGAACCGAATTATCAATGTTTTCAAAATTCTGACCTTGTTGCATATTTGGGTCCTTTGACCCACTTGGACCGGCTTCTTGTTTTCTTTTCCCAACCCTGCAATCTTTCTTGAAATGCCCGGGTTTACCACACGTCCAACACGCCACCTTTTGTTTCTTGTTGGCGGTGTTCTTGTCGTGCTTGTTTTTCTTCCTTTTCCAGACTTGTGCTTCGCCTTGGAACCACCATCCTCCACCATATTAACATAGGATGGTCCAGCAACATCCTTGGATTTGTTGCTTTCTTGAGCCCTCACGGATTCTTCAATCCGAATATGAGTGCTCAATTGAACCAAAGACAAATCATCTTTGTTGTGTTTCAACTCACGTTTGTAGTCTTTCCAAGACGGTGGCAACTTATCAATTACATTCGAAACAGAAATACATTCATCTTGTTTCATACCATGTAAATTAAATTGTCCCAACATACGCACAAGTTCATGGTATTGTTCCATAACAGACCTCGAATCAACCATCTCATAATTATTAAAGTCACTAACAAGAAATTTCTTACTTGATGCATCTTCAACCATGTATTTGGATTCAAGAGAATCCCATAACTCCTTTGCAGATTCAATATTCTGATAAATATCGAACAGGGGATCAGACAAACCGTATAGAATGTGGCCTATGCAAAGAATGTTGTCATTCTCCCATTTGCAGCGCCTTCTGGCATGTTCAATGGTTTCGTCCTCGTGTTCTTCTGGTTTGGGAGTACTCAGCACATACACGACTTTTAGAGTCGTCAACAAGATCTGCATCTTCTTTTGCCATCTTCGAAAATCCTGTCCTTGGAACCCTTCCAATTTTGCGAAGTTACTGGTTCTGTCCTTCGTCGATTCACCGTTCGTCATCTTCAACGAAAATATTCAATCTTTGTTGGGGAAATTAATGATAACTTGGATGAATCGAGAGTTGTGTAAACACTCTCAGATTGAATATTTTGGTTGTTCACTCCAAAATTCAATCGGATAAAACTCGAAAGTATCAAGAATGAAATATGAGAATTGCTGTGTCTAAAAACGAACGAAATTCGACCATGCCCAGGGGAATTTTATAGACTAGGGGTGAGAAGGAGAAGACACCATTCGCGGCTATTACCCAAAGCACGCAACTCTTCGCGCGGAAGTTTCTTCTTCAAAATTCGGTCCTATCCATCGAATTTTCTTTTAAAGAAAATTCGAAATTAAAATTCTAATTGAATTTTTTAACATAGCACCGAGCCCAAAATAAAAAATTTTCGACCCCAGCCAGGGG